AGATCTTCTGGAAACCTCATCCTTGCCGATTTTCCAACTTTCCATCCGATTAGGCATGCTGGAAAGCCCCAGCTATATCAAACTTTTTTCTCTCCCATGTGCTCTAACAGCGGTTCCAACGATCTTCTAGCCAGTGTCTCTAAAGCAATATCCGGGAAAATATACAAATTTGTTTCCTTATATTTTATTTTAAGTCACGCAAACCTTTCCGTATTGTCTCTCTGTCTTTGAAATGGTGAAATTGAACTATTACATCTGTGGGGCTTTCTGCCTATATTCCTCTTGGCCTTCTAATCCGGTGTACTCTCTTGAAATTAAATTTTTCTGTCACTGATCTTCCCATTATTGGGTTACACATTTTGTTTATTATCTCCCGTAGATCATCTTCCTGTTCCTCTTCTTCTGATAGGTCTCTAATCTTTAAGTTATTTCTTCTATTACGATTCTCCTGATCCTCTATTTTAAATGAGAGCTTTCTTTGTACTCTACTCATCTCCTCCACCTGCATTTCTAATTTATTAATTAAGTGTGTATATTCCTCCATTCTCCCTTCAACTTCTTCAACTCGAATTAATATCTGGCCCAAGTCCTTGTGTAATGTCCCCAATTCATTTTTCATGGATAGCTCTAATTTTGTGAACATTTCTGCCATTTCCGTTTTTGTAGGCAATTGTGCCATGGCTCCTTGCTGTTCCAAATTTCCTTGTTCTCTAACACTTTCCCTATTTATAGGTTCTTTAATCTGACTCTCTTCCAATGTCCCAAGTGAAAGTCTAGACAGATCTCCATCATACTTTTTAATTCCTTGCAGCTGTTTCTCCAGAGCTTCAATCTCTGGGCTTTCCCGTAGGGCCATGTATTTTCTTTTTGTACTTGTATTTGCGTTTGCATTTGGATTTGATTGGGGGGGGTTTGATCCCCCTCCCTTTGACAGATCTACTCTTCATTTCGCTTGAGAAATTACAATTGGTTTTCCTCTGTTCCAAATTTGCTGACCCTGAGATAGCCTTTTTTTCTTCTTTAGTTTGGGTCCCAGTTACCCCTACGTATCTTACTTATTAAAAAAAAAAATTGTGCCGTTGGACCCCAAGACCCCCTGAGACGCCCCAAAAAGTTTTTTCCATCCGCACAATAGTCTCAACAGACACTTATTTGCAATACATAGCACAGTTCTTTTAAGAGGTTTTTTTTTCCCCGCTGTTAGTGGCAACTCTCCATCACCGTCGGTGTCACAGCTGCAGAACAACACCATCTCTGGCCTTCCTCTATGCACAGAGCCACCTCTGTCTCCTCTGTATCCGCCGCTTTACTGGCAGCTCCCAGGGCTCCAGTGCTGCCGCTCAGGCAGTTCCGCGGCCATCCTTGCCGGCACATCGGCAGTCTCGCAGGCACTCCCAGCGCCCTTTCCCTCTTCTGGCACCGCCACCTCCTGGCTCCACTTTGCTGGGTCTGCAGTGCTCCTCCAGCTGCCACCCACCCACCAAACCCACAGGCGGACCACCGGAACCCTTCACCACAACCGACCACTCCAAAGCTCCACGGCCACCAGGCAGAAACAGGCATGTCTGTTGTCACATGGATCAGGCTCAGGTAGTCTCGTGTAGGCTCCCAGACTAGTTCTTCATGGCGGGCGTTCGGGGCTCCGTCTCCATACTGTCTCACAGCGTCATGTTCCAGTCCCTCCCCCCAGCCCTCAAAGTAATTTTTTCAAATTTTTAAGAACTTGGTAATGACTGGCATAGTACCACTGGATTGGCATAAGGCCAATGTGGTGCCTATATTTAAAAAGGGATCAAAATCTTTACCAAGTAATTATAGACCTGTTAGTTTAACTTCTATAGTTGGGAAGATACTGGAGAGTTTAATAAAAGACCACATAGATGAGTTCTTGCTGAACAAAAATATTTTAAGCAACAGACAGCATAAATTAATGAAAGACAGTAGCTGTCAAACAAATCTGATTTCTTTTTATAAGGAGGTGAGCAAAACCTTAGACAGAGGGGTGGCAGTGGATGTGGTATACTTGGATTTTGCAAAAGCATTTGACACAGTTCCCCATAGATGGCTAACGTGTAAGGTAAAGTCTGCAGGCTTGGAAAAATCTGTATGTAAATGGATAGAAAACTGCCTAAAAGACCGAATTCAGAGAGTAGTGGTTAATGATTCTTACTCTGAGTGGTCTAGGGTTGTCAGTGGTGTACCCCATGGTTCAGTGTTGGGACCCTTACTTTTTAATATATTTATAAACAATATAGGGTCTGGGATTAAAAATACCATTTTAGTCTTTGCAGATGACACCAAGCTATGCAGTAGAAAAACGTCCTCACACAGGATGTCTCCGATTTACAAGCCGACCTCAATGCACTGTTCAATTGGGCAACTATGTGGCAAAGTTTAATGTTGATAAATGTAAGGTTATGCACTTGGGGGCTAAGAATATGCATGCACATATATACTAGGGGGAGTACAACTGGGGGAATCAATGGAGAAGGATCTGGGAGTTCTGGTAGATCACAAGCTTAATAATGGCATGCAATCCCAAGCTGGGGTTCCTAAAGAGCGCAAAATCCTCCCTTGTATTAAAAGAGGTATACACGCCAGAGAGAGAGATATCATATTACCCCTGTACAAATCATTAGTAATACCTCATCTGGAATACGCAGTTCAGTTTTGGGCACCAATTCACAAAAAGAACATTGGGGAACTGGAGAAAGTACAGAAAAGGGCAACCAAACTGATAAGAGGCACAGAGGAGCTCAGCTATGAGGAAAGATTAGAGGAACTGAATTTATTCTCTCTTGAGAAGAGAAGATTAAGGGGGGATATGATCAACATGTATAAATACATCAGTGGTTCATATAGTTAAGGTGGTGTAGAGTTATTCATCCTGAGGTCATCACAGAGGACAAAGGGGCACTATTTCCATCTGGAGGAAAAGAGATTTTCTTCACAGTGAGAGCTGTGAAAATGTGGAATAGACTCCCTCAAGAGTTGGTTCTGGCCAGCTCATTAGAATACTTTAACCACTTGCCCTCCAGAGGATTTACCCCCCCATCCTGACCAGCCTATTTTTTGTGATACAGCGCTGCGTTATTTTTACTGACAATTGCACGGTCACGCAACGCTGTACATAATGAAATTTATGTCCTTTTTTCTACAAATAGAACTTTCTTTCTATGGTGTTTGATCACCTCTGCGCTTTTTATTTTTTGTGCTATAAACAAAAAAAAGAGTAACAATTTTGAACAAAAACTCAACATTTTTTACTTTTTGCTATAAAACATCCAACGAAAATATTTAAAAAATCTAATTTTGTCATAAATTTAGGCCAAAATGTATTCTGTATTTGCTTAAAAAAATCCCAGTACATGTAAATTAATTGTTTTTCGTGAAAGTTATAGCGTCTACAAATGGCAGTATATATACACTGGAATTTTTTTTTTTTTATACTAGTAATGGTGGTGATCAACGACTTATAGCGGGACTGCGGCAGGCATTCTGACACTGGGTGGGATCTAACTGCCACTGACATCCCCAGTGACACTAATACAGTGATCAGTGCTAATAAAAAGCACTGACACTGTACTAAGGACACTGGGCAGGAAGGGGTTAACCTTTGGGCGATCAGAGGTTTAACTGTGTGCTGTGTGTTTTACTATGTGTGCCATGTTGTGCTTTATGAGGGAGGCATGCTGTTTTGTATCTCTCTGCTGTGCAGAGAGATACAAAACAGCATGTCCATGCTGACAGGGGGGAGACCACAGGTCTCTCCCATCAGCTTTACACGGCGATCACAGAGTGTCGGCCAGGACCCGGTGATTGACATCCCTAGCCGAATAGCGGCGAGCACCCCCTACCCAGAAGTTCAAATGACGCATATATACATGATTTTGCGCAACCCTGCCGCTCTGTATCAGTACTTCTAATTTAGGGTGGAGGGCAAGCGGTTAAAAAAAAGGCTTGGATTATTTCCTAGATACACAGAATATAACTGGATACTAACATTTATAGGTAAAGTTGATCCAGGGAATATCTGATTGCCTCTCGGGGATCAGGAAGGAATTTGTTCCCCTGTAGAAGCAAATTAGATCATGCTCTGCTGGGGTTTTTTTGCCTTCCTCTGGCTCAACTGTGGGTATAGGATTATAACTTTTTTTTTGTATGGTTGGATGGACTTTTGTCTTTTTTCAGCCAGACTAACTATGTAACCTAGAAGAGTGATGGCACAAAAAGACCAAGTGGTTCATTGAGTCTGCCCCATTTTTTTAAGTTATATGGGTTTTTTTTACATTTTTTTTTCTAAGTATAGATCTATGTTTGTCTGAAACATCTCCCATCCTCTGGAACTCTGGAACTTCAATCTGTCCGATTATCACCTCCTCTGGCTGCCTTTAGGCGATCCCTGAAAATTAATTTCTTTAGGGAAGCCTATCAAGCCTCCGACTAGACATTTATCACTTCCATCAGCTCACCCCCCACAGTTATTAATCATTTGTACCACTTACCCCTCCCTATTAGATTGTAAATTCTTAGGAGTAGGGCCCTCTTAATCCTCTTGTTTTGGTTGTAATGTAGCTGTATTGTCTCCCTTTATATTGTAAAGTGCTGTGTTAACTGTTGGCACTATATAAGTCCTGTATTATAATAATGATTATAAAAAAATAACTTACTGTTGACTGACTTACTACCTCTGCTGGAAGTCTATGGCATCCATCAACTACTACCTGCCAAATGATTTCCATTTCTGTCCATCCCGACCTGAAATTTACATAGCAAAGCCCTGTCTGGCAAACTAAAAGATCTGATGCAGGTAAATAGCAAAAGTCATGAGGCTGGGGAAATAAGGAAGAAAGCAGCACGTTTACTGCTTGTATTAAAAAGTACATTTAACTACATCCCCACAGCCCTATAGCAGATATATGGCTACAGGGCGGCAGGGGTGTGCATAATCACGTATATATACGTGATTTTGTATTGCCGGGTAGGGGGTGTGGCTGTCAATCACTGGTTCCCGCCCGGTGATTACCGAGGATTTCCAATGGGGAGGAGAGCTGCTTTGTTTACTAACAGCCCTCCTACCTGTCAGCTCGGGCACACTGCTCTGGATGGCTGTGCACAGCACAGCCATCCAGAGCAGTGTGCTTACAGTGAAGCACCAACACCCCACCCCCCAGTAAAACACTTCCAGCACACAGTTAACCCTTTGATTGCCCCTCATGTTAACCCCTTCCTGCCCAGTGTCATTAATAGTGTCAGTGATTTTATTTAGCCCTGATCACTGTATTGGTGTCACTGGGGATGTCAGTGACACCAAGTCAATTCCCCCCAGTGTTAGAATGGCCACTACAGTCCCGCTATAAGTCGCTGATCACTGCCATTACTAGTACAAAAAAATCTAATATATACCCCGCCATTTGTAAATGCTATAACTTTCACGTAAACCAATTAATTTACACGTATTGGGATTTTTTTTTCTAGCAAAGACATGTAGCAGAATTCATTTTGGCCTAATTATGCCAAAATTTAATTTAATTTTTTTACTGGACACGTTTAATAGCAAAACTTTAAAAATATTGTTTTTTTTTTTCTCAAAAGTTTTTTTTATAGCGTAAAAACTAAAAAAAACCGCACAGGTGATCAAATACCACCAAAAGAAAGCTCAATTTGTGGGGAAAAAAAAAGGGACGTAAATTTAATTTGGGTGCAGCGTTGCATGACCGCTCAATTGTCAGTTAAATTAACGCAAACAATGGCCTGGTCAGGAAGGGGGGTAAATCCTCAGGAGAGCAAGTGGTTAATGGTGTAACAATAAACATTTAGCTCCATTCATTTGTTTTTCTTCTATATCCGTCCAGAGTTCTGCTTTAAGACTGTCAACTAGATTTACTAGGGACATTTTGCTTGACATCTTTTCTGACTGCATTGACATGCAACTCTGGGGTAGTGTTCTGCATTAACAGGAGTCAGGTTTGTCTCTGCAGGAGTTGTTAAAAAGAATAAATATGCCTGATCTGCACCTGACTTAAAAATGTCAATACACACAAATGCATGTAACATTGAGTTTTACAGTGTGGACTAGTGTGAACCTTGGCTAAAGGGGGTATGTTCTGTGGGGACAGTTGTAGTAGCAACTGTAGAGGGATTTTCATTCATTTTCAGGAAATTTCCACTTTCTGTTGTGACTCACTGACAGGGCTATGGATGGCAATGATAACTTGACATGTTGTAACCCTTCCTTATTATATTCAAACTGAAAAAAAAATGCTTAAAGTTACATTTTATCCTTTTAAACACATAAGAAGAATCATGACCAATAGTAATTCTAAAAAAGAGTGAAGAGCAACAGCAGACTAACCAGATAAAGGAGAAGGGATGTGTATTTCTAATCTACAGTATAAGAGAGTGGCCACTAGATGGCACCTATTACACAAACAAAGGCTATTTCCAGTTATTAAGTAGTCAGATATGATATTGGATCAAAATATAAAGGTGATATGAGGATATAAAAGAAAATACATCATTCAAAAAATATGGCTCAAGCAAATAAATGAAAAAGTAAGAAAGAATGGCAAGCACAAAAAAAATCTGCAGAATATATTTTAAAAATATATTTTTAAAAATATATTCTTCAGATTGTTTTTAACATAAAAAAGTCATTTCAACATATATTTTTACATATATTTGTAAATGCATTCCAAAAATGTAGATTTGTAATTTTATATTTTAAAGACATACAGTATATTTGAAACTTATTGTATATTTTTCATATATTTTGTAATATAAATGCATTTCAACATGCAATGTATGTATGTGTATATATATATATATATATATATATATATGTATATATATATATATATATATATATATACACATATACACACACACACACACACACATATATATACATACATACACACACACACACACATCATTTTTTTTTTTTTTATTATTTTTTTATTGAAATATATTTTGAACTATATTGAATATGGCCAAAATTGTAGCATTTCAAATATATGGCAATATATTTGGGAAGAATATTTTTTAAAATATATTTCAAATATATTTTTCTTCCATGCGGGCTGTTCCATGCTTCCACAGGCTCCTCCTGTCCTCGAAACTGGTCCTTGGAATTGTGTTTCTGTCCATCAGTTGTACCTGAACATCATCACACACAATGCATAACCAGCAGTTCTGCATTCTACATGAGGATGTTGAGGCCCGATCCTCAACCCAGAGTGTCCAAAGAAAGAGGAAAACGTTGGCTGCCTGGGGAGTGAGGGATAAAATAAGCAAAACTGCTTTTTAAATGTTCCCCTACACAAAAAATGGTTTTAATTCCCTTACCTCAATGCTTTTAAAGAAAATTTAAAAATGTTTGAAACAACTGGATATGAAAAACATACTTCTGCTTGTAGTTACATTGAGAAACATTTTTCAGTTCTTGAGAAAAAAAAATGTCCATGTACCTCTAGCAGGGAGTGGGACTCAAGTCCACTGCCACAAGAACCGCTTGAAATTACAAGCTCACCATCGCCAGGTTTGCTGCGTCTCCCAGCACAGTCTCAAGAGCATGGAGGAGATTGCTGGAGACAGGCAGTTACTCTAGGAGACCTGGACAGGGCAGCAGAAGGTCCTTAACCCATCAGGACCGGTATCTGCTCCTTTGTGCAAGGAGGGACAGGATGAGCAGTGCCAGAGCCCTACAAAATGACCTCCAGCAGACCACTGGTGTGAATGTCTCTGACCAATCAGAAATAGACTTCATGAGGGTGGCCTGAGAGCCCAACGTCCTCTAGTGGTCCCTGTGCTCACTGCCCGGCCCCATAGAGCTCGATTGGCATTTGCCATTAAACACCAGAATTGGCAGGTCTTCCACTGGCACACTTTGCTTTTCACAGATGAGAGCAGGTTCACCCTGAGCACATGTGACAGATATGAAAGGGTCTGGAGAAGCTGTGGAGAACATTATGCTGCCTGTAACATCATTCAGCATGACTGTTTTGTTGGTGGGTCAGTGATGGTCTGGGGAGGAATATACATGGAGGGATGCACAGACTTCTACAGGCTAGACAATGGCACCCTGACTGCCATTAGGTATTGGAATGAAATCCTTGGTCCCATTGTCAGACCCTCCGCTGGTGCAGTGGGTCCTGGGTTCCTCCTTGTGCACAATATTGCCTGGCCTCATGTGGCAAGAGTATGAAGGCACTTCCTGAAGGATGAAGGAATTGATACCATTGAATGTCCCCCACGCTCACCAGACCTAAATCCAATAGAAACACCTCTGGGATATCATGTTTGGGTTCATACGACGCCACCAGGTTGCATCTCAGACTGTCCAGGTGCTCATGGATGCCCTGGTCCAAATCAGGGAGGAAATACCTCAGGACACTATCCGTTGTCTCATTAATGGCACTCCCTGATGTTGTCAGGCATGCATACAAGCACGTGGGGGCAATACAAACTACTGAGTACCATTCTGAGTTGTTGCAACGACAATTCAGCAAAATGGACTAGCCTGCTGCATTACTCTTTTCTCTTTGTTTTTCAGGGTGTCTTTGAATTCAGTCCTCTGTAGGTTCATAATTTTCATTTCCATCAAACAGTGGGGCATCCTTACTTTCCTAACACATGACCCAGTCCATATCAGTATAGATATCCAGCATTTTTCCCCATTGAGATCTGATGTCTTTTCAAAGTGTTCCTTTAATTTTTAATTTTTTTTTTAAGCAGTGTACATAGGAGCATCTGGTTGCTTGGGATGAGGACAAGATGGAGTAACAAAGGTTCACGTGGACAGTGAGGTCTCATTTCTGTTATGCATCAGTCTTTGAATCCCTTTTAGATCTTGATAGTCTGGATGGTCTAGCCAGTTTGATCACCCTTCATTCTGCACTGATTTATGATCAACATTCCCTCTTACATGCTGTGGGGGTAAGCCTCCTTATGCATGTGTGTCTGTCTGCATAGAAATGTCTGTGCACTGGCTATAGAAAAGGAATGTAAAAGAGAAGAGAAAACTCCTTCCCCCCCTACTCCCCCTTTTTTTCCCCCTTGTTGGTTTCTCCTATCCCTCATTTTCCTAACTTTCCTTTATATATTACATCCTTAGGCTGCCTTGCTGTAGGTTTGGGTAGGTCCCCTTTCCTGAAATGGCCATAACGTGATGATGGAGATTTGGTTGTTCTTCCAAGACAATAAATATAGAAGCTCCTTGGGCCACTTTTAGTATGATTTAGTTGTGAAATTACTTGCACTAGTGTAACTCGAGATACTTTATTATAGCACATTTGTTCCAGCATTTTATTCTTCTGCCAGCTGTTAGGCTTTATTCTTTTTGACTATACATTTTATGTGAGAAATTAACTGTACTTACTACTTGTTCCCTTGGACTGACATATTGTATGCATCTTGACCTGCTCCTTATATGTTATAAACAATGTAAACTTTTACAATAAAATTAAAAAGTTTCCACATATGACATTTTATATAATTTTCATCAAAGGGAACCCTTGCAGTTGAGTTTGCAACAAGTAAACTTTCTATCCAACCCATTTCTTATAGCTTGGCCTGCATGGATTTATGTACAGGGAGAACACTAAACTGTACAGTTTTTTGTTCTTTGTACAGCTCATCTAACACAATTTTTTTCTACACTAGGTAGACTAGGAGGCAATAACATATGACATACCAGAGGTACTTGAAGTTAAGAAACACTGCTTCTCAACTGTAGACCTCATTGTCTACCAAAGATGGAACTTTCCAAACATTCAGATTAAAAAAAAAAAAAAAAAAAAACTGTCAATCTACAGTGGGGCAAAAAAGTATTTAGTCAGCCACCAATTGTGCAAGTTCTCCCAAGACCGCTGATAATCTCCCTCAATCTGGGGCTCCACGCAAGATCTCACCCCGTGGGGTCAAAATGATCACAAGAAAGGTGAGAAAAATCCCAGGATCACACATGGGGACCTAGTGAATGACCTGCAGAGAGCTGGGACCAACGTAACAAAGGCTACCATCATTAACACACTACGCCACCAGGGACTCAGATCCTGCAGTGCCAGACGTGTCCCCCTGCTTAAGCCAGTACATGTCCGGGCCCATCTGAAGTTTGCTAGAGAGCATTTGGATGATCCAGAAGAGGATTGGGAGAATGTCATATGGTCAGATGAAACCAAAATAGAACTGTTTGGTAGAAACACAACTCGTCGTGTTTGGAGGAGAGAGAATGCTGAGTTACATCCAAAGAACACCATACCTACTGTGAAACATGGAGGTGGCAACATCATGCTTTGGGGCTGTTTCTCCACAAAGGGACCAAGACGACTGATCCATGTACAGGACAGAATGAATGGGGCCATATA